CCCCAAAACCCCAAAACCCCAAAACCCCAGGTCTGTGAGGGCAGGTTGAAATTTATAATAATAATTTGGGAAATGGGGAATAGAGTAGCTGAGAGAGTGAGAGACTGGGATCTATTGGCAGTTCCGATTGGGTTTAGCGTGGCAAAGAGAAGATGGGGGTCAGGACTGGTCACAGTGGTAGTGACTTGTGGAGTTTTGGGAGTTTTAGTGGCCTGGGTGGTGGTCATGGTGGTGCAAGGGGAGCAGATGAAGGGAAGAAGGTGAGTGGGGAGGGGGAAGAGGGGAAGAGGGGGATTGGGGGGTTTGGAAGGGCTTAGAGGGCAGGGATTGGGGTGGAGAGGAAGGGATAAATAGGCTGGCAGCTCATGGTCCGGTTAGAAAGATTAGTCAAGAAATTTTATAATAGTTGTAAATTATTGGAAAAATTGTTTCTAAGTTGGGATTTCGCTGGATTGATGGTTATTTGAATTTTTAGTCAAAGTAATTCCCTTTCAAAAGGTTCTCAAAAATGGAAGAATTGGTTTGAATTTTCTAAATAATCAGAATTATGCTTATAGAATGATTTTTAGAGCGATTCAGAACCTTAATTTGCCTTGATAACTTCTGGAATATTAGTTCTAATTGCATCTCGATTAAAATAACAACACAATATCGTGTCTCCTCTCGATTCGAATACGACTAGGAGCATTAGAATAAGCATCAACAACTAATATATTTCAATGGAAATTTGAAGCTTCTTTGGGAAGATGAACTCTTTTTTGTTACATTGTATAAGTGCTCCTTCAGTTTCTAAGAGAAGGGATATAAACTAAAGGAGCACTTCTTTATTAAAACGGAACATTAATTCTAACTTTACATTAGGTAATCTTTCAATAGATTCTGATATTATGTTAAGGTTTGCAAAGTTATGTTCTGGACCGTCATATGGAGTTCTGGCTCAACCTTAGCTTCAGTGAGTTTTCTGAAAAATTTCTAAATACTATAAAATTTCTTGGCTAAATGTATTCCGGAAGAAAATCGAGCACGAACTGGGAGGCTGTTTGTCGCTCACTGTATATCACAAACTCAGTCTCTATTCTGAATTCTATTGGTGGCTAGAACAACTAGAATCAGTTGCTTATTTAATGATAACAAACCTTTTGAGCACTAGTCGCTCATGATAACTTTATGTTTTGGTCTATTTCAGTCGTGTTTTTAACTATACTTATGCTTAATAGTGAGGTTGAAACAACTACAACCACAGGAAAATGCAGAGTTTTGAGTCCAAAGGTAAGTATAGAACTATCTTGACCTGGTTTTAGACATTTAAGCTATTTTAAATCTGCAGATTTGGTCTTACTTTGACTATATTCAAATTATGGAAGGAAAATTAGCTTGAAGCTCAAAACCTCTTCTTTATTATACTAACTTCTTTTATCATATTTAATTACTTGTTTCTTTATCCTTGCTCAAGATAATGCTAAAGTATTAAGAAAATGCAATTCTTAGAGAAAAACAGAAAGATTGCTTAAAATTGATATGACCTTCGAAGATCTATTACTTTTATGATAATCTCTCTAAAACGTCATTCCCTAACTTCTGATATAGGACCCAAGGATGCTATTGGCTTCAAGCATACCTTATGACTCCTCCGCTCTGAAGTCTCTGACTACTGACTTCACAGCATCAGAGGTCTCCTCAACTAAGGAGTGGGAGGAGATCAACTCAGCAACACTTGCTGAAGAAATAGAGTATCCATTCAGCAATGGCTTTGCGCTAGCTATTTGACAAAATAAGCCCATCAATAATGAATTTGGGAGTTGGTATGGTTTCAAAATAGTTCCAGATAGCCTTTCCAGTGCTTCATTGATAAGTTGTACCACTGACTTATTTCCTGAAGAAGTTCGTGAAGAGTTAAGTAAAGTTGATCTATCATCATGACTTTGTGTTGAAAATCCAGAATCCATTCCTATAAGGGGGTGCCTCTGAAACCCTGACTTTCGAACTTTTGGTTTGGCCTATTTTTCAACGAACTGTACAAATAACTGAGACGCAAGAGAAGAGTACTTCAATGGGATTACTTTTACAATGTATTATACTTCCGGCTACTACAACCCTTCTTCAACTCCACCTCACGGTTTTAAACTTGAAGAGCAAACATATTACTCAAGCTTGGACAAAACTATAGATAGCTATCTCAATCTCAGAGAGACTCAGATCACTTCCAGTTCAGGTATTTCTTAGCTGCCCCTTCTGGTTCAAAACTACTGTACCCAAGCTTCTTGACATAACCCTGATTAATAGGCTCGACACAAGACTCGTTCTACACGGGTTACTCCATTAACATCAATTCAGGCAGTTCGATAGGAGGAATCCCTCTTTTGATTCAGGTTTTAAGAGATAGCATCACTAACAAAATACAAAGTAAGTTTACCCTATCTGGACTCTTTGTTCTGGGTTTTACAGAATTTGAGACTAAAGATTTTAGCAACCACTAAAACAGCCTGGACACCGGTAACGGATGGGAGGAACCTTGACAGTCAGAGTACAAGTACAACTCAAGTAAAAATAGAGACGAAGAAGATGATGTTTTATTATAATGTGCTATATGTGATGGCTAATATAGGAGGCCTGCTTGCAATCTTATGGCTGATCATCACTCTACTCATCAAACCAATAAGTAAGCACACACGAGTATAGCAATCCTGACCTTTTTAGTCGAAAATTATCTGACCTCAGTTTTTAATCTGTACTTTTAAGTTAACTAGTATGGCATACTTTAGATGATAGTCAAGATTTAGTGTCCAAATGATATTTAGGTTTTATTCAATATATTCTTAGCATTCGATACAATGATATCTTATCAGCCAAAAGCAAATAGTCAGATCTTCGATGCTAATTTCTGATTTTTCAAATCAGTAATATCACATAAATTGAATATTATACAATAAAGAGGCAAAATTTGGTTTGATAGAATCCTCACCATTTCTGATTCTAAATTTTCTGTCAAATAGCCTACTTTCACTAGATGCATCATTGAGATTCATAGCCTATTGCATCTGGCTTTTCCAGAATGCTGATAACTGAGTATAGCAAACAAGATGCAGACTCTCGGCTTGATAAACAATTTCAATAATGATAGAGAGTATTTGATAGATAGTTACAAGAGTATTGAACAATGCCGGATGGAAGAACTTGCTCAATTTAAGAATTCACTCATTCAGAAAGAAAATAGACAGGCCATGCTGAGAATGAACGGATGTGAAGAAGAGGATGAGAAAGTCCAAGAGCTGAACGGAGTTGTCCAGCATAACTCTGGAGATCAGATGAAGCCTATTGAATCGCAATTTGATTCTTCAAAATATCCGAAATCAAAGTCTTTGAAGAAGAGAAGCACTGCTAAAGTTTATGCTGTTCAGGAAGAAAGTATAGATTCTTCTAGTCGTGAATTTCAAAGTAATAAGGACTTATTCTTGTCACAAAAGAAGAATGAAAGTGCATACTACACAACTTGGGATATGCTAAGAGCTACTTTATACTGTTGCAGGTCAAAGACTTCCAATTCATTAAATTCTAAAGATATTAGTCTTCTGCAGGACCTCGATTTTCTTAATAGTGAGAGAGATATTAAAACCTTCCTATCCAAATTGACTACACTCGAAAAGAGAAATGCTGTATTATCAGAATTACTTGAAGCTAGAATTATCAAGAAGAAACATTAACCTCTAAGTAATTCTAAAAAAATGACAAACTTTGTCAATGGGGCTGGCACATAACCCACAACACCATACACAATAAACATACCACAAAATATCTACTCTCATCTCCTAAAAGTCTCTTCATAACCCTCGAAGACTAAGTATTAAGAACCCCCACCCCAATAGGCATAAATTCTGCTAATCTCCCTTACCCAGCCCTACTCCCCTTCAAGTTACACTCCCCCCAAGACCCCCTCTTCCACCCCTAAAACCCCTTCCTCTGCTCAGAGTAATTTCTTCCTCGGCTTCCTCTGGTTCTGACTGCTTACTTCTTCCACTGCTAAATTCTCAAGTTAAGGGGTTCTAAGGTAGAATGGGATTTAAGGTAGAATGGGATTTTGGAGGTCTGGGGTTTTGGGGTTTTGGGGTTTTGGGGTTTTGGGG